TGGTATTAAAAAATAATCTGTGAGTTGTGTTACAGGTCAAACCCATAGATTTTCCATTTTAGGCCATGCAATGCCCACTGATGTGTATTTTTTAATGAGAGCTATTCTGAAATTTGAACTTTGAAAACGATCTCTTCAATGACTCATAGAGGAAAATTTGCTTATGAAGATATCAGTGAGATTATGTAGAATCTAATTTTGAGAGCCTAGCAGGTGTTTACTGAGATGTCTACCTGTCTAGTCCCCCGTCTCTCTCTCTCTCTCTCTTTATATATATATGTATATATACATATATGTATATATATGTGTGTGTATGAGATTTTATATATATATATATCACACTACAAACACACACATGCACACACATAGAAACATACACAACCCACACATGCACACAACAGACACATGCACAAAAACACACACACAGACACACACAGAGACACACACACAGAGACACACATAAAATATGCAAGAAAAACCTATATCAAGCTGCATTAAAAAGCTTGTTTTCTTTTCCATATTATATGAAGGACCTCTTATACAGTTCATTCTACTAGCTTGAGTATCACAGAACATGGATAATACATGAGCTACAAGGAAATGGTCTCTGTGTGCTGAAAAATTGGTAATTAAAATTGAGATTTGCTCTTGGTGAAAAACAAATGATCCAAATTCACTCAATTACTGGCAATTAGGTTCTGTAGAAATATTAAGTTTCAGTTCTATTGAGTGATAGAAGAAATAGTAATATTTCCATTGTAGAAGTTAGATTTTCCTAGCTGGTCAATTAACCTTGGATTGCTGACTGTACATATTTTAAAGCCCACATCCTTTTGGGGTTTACAGATGGGGAGAAGTTACAATTAACTTGTAAAATTGTGGCTTTGTATTGCCAAAAATGATCAGTTGGTTCAAATAATTTTCCAGTAGAGAAATCAAGGATTGATTTCCTCTTAGTCTCCTGGAATGCTGCTATCTAGAACTTTCCACCGCTTCTAAGTGTTTAGTTTAGAAGCAAAAGTAGTGATTTGTTAGTTCATTAGAGAATTTTATTTGTGGTAGAAAAGTTGTCCTGTTGAATTAAAAAATTCTGAGTCTTTTTATTTGCTTCCTTAAGGTGATTCTTTAACACACACACACACACACACACACACACACACACACACACACACACCACAATAGTTTTTTTTGAAAAAAATTAATAATTATTCCCAAGACATATACAAGTATATAAATGCTTAGAAAACTTCGAAAATATTTTTTAAGAGCCCATAGACCCACCCAAACATCTCTAAATAGATATTGGGAGGCGAACAGAGAGCAGACTCTCCATCTTAGAGTAGTAGATTAGCAGAAAAATCAGCGTTAGAAAAAAAATTGAAAATTTGCTGTGCACTTTCATTCTTTCAACTTGCAATTATTAAGCACCTACTGTGTGCCAAGTCCCCAACACGAGCAAGTCAGGGAGAAGGCTTTGACTCGACAGAGTTTATTAGCTGAGGATATTGATTATTAGGTAAAACATGGTGGTCTTGAACCTCAGGATTAATTCTTGCTGTTACTTATAAATCCAGCCAGTCTTTTTCTTCAGAAACCAGAGATGATTTTGATTAATTGATCTGACAGTGCATGGCACATCATATTTACTTGGGAGAATTTAGTAACTCCAGAGAGTCCTCAAGGAATACAGGGAAATTTCCACATACCTTTACCCTAATGGGATCATGGGAGCAGAACGTGATGGTGAGAAGTTAGGGTTCTCACAGGCAGAGGAAGCTTCTGGAAAGACTTCTATCTCTGTTGAACCTTTCACCCACATTCACTGTGGAAAGAGAAATCAGAGCAACAGAAATCTGGAATGGGGAAGGAAAATGGTCGGTGGAAATGAATCGTCTCCCGAGGCAATAGGCGATTTGTTTCTCTAGGAGTGTAGTATTTACAATTGAACATACATATAAAAACCTGACAACTGTGGATAAAATGTGACAGGAAGTATTTTATATGCTTGGGGATTTTGAGAAGGAAAAGAGATGATGTTGAATATTTTCCTTGATTGCTATCACCTGAGATTGGGTCAGATGTTCATATAGGTTTTTTTATTGGGGTCTCTTTTATTTTACCTGTTGCTTTAAAATATTCTCACAGTTAAAGGAAGTCAGTTTTTAAAGTTAATACCTAAAATAGGATCTATCTCAAATGAAATAATTTTATATTAAATTAGTTGAGGGTAGGTTGAAAAACCATGCACACAACGTAACACATACTACATATGTATGTTTTGTTTTATGTGAAGTGCATTTGTTTCCAGGTGTATTTTCCTTCATTTTTCCTATTAGGTGGCTACTTTCCTGCTTCCTTATTCCAAATCTTTAAATGTTCATCAAATATAGAAGTATTAAAATAATATAAAACATAACTACACCAAGGGATGCACTTCAACTTTTGGGAAGTTTATAATTTGCACTAAAGTACAGTGTAGTTTTCATTTCTGTAGGACAAAACTGGGCTTGATCATAAGAAATTAGAAATACTGGGAACAGGGAGAGGGCTCCAAGGTCTGACAACTTGAGTTTGATCTTCAGGACCCACATGGTGGGAGGAGAACATTGACTCCCAGAAGTTAGCCTCTGACTTCCTTATGTGTGCTGTTAACTCCAACACCCTTTTCCCCAACCCCAAATAAGTACGCTATAAAAAATAAAAAAGAGTTTAGATTAATAGCTTGGAATGATAGCATACACTTATGATTCAAACTGTCTAATGGCGGAGGCAGGAAGATTGTGAATCTGATGCCAGCTTGGACTACACATTGCATTTGAAACTAGCCTTGGCTAAGCAGTTGAACCCTGTGTCAAAACAACAGCAATAACAAAATTAGAAGAGTAGACCACATTGTATTTTCTCACTGCTTGTCTGATCTTACTAGTCTGAGTTGCTAATAAATTACTTTGATGTTTACAAAAATTACTTTTGTTGTTTGTATATATGGTGTGTGTGGGTGCATGTGCGTGTGTCTGTGTATGTGTATATTTGCACACTTACATGTCAGGTGCATATGTGGAGGTCAGAGAACAACTCTGTAGGTTCAGTTCTCTACTTTCATGTTTACGTGGGTTCTGGGGAGCAAACTCAGCTTGTCAGGCTTGTGTGGCAAGTGCCTTTAGCCACTGAGCCATCTTGACACCCCAGCCTTGATGGTGACATGAAGAATCTGGGGTTTTCCTGATGGTGTGCCCATTTGCTACAGCACATTTCAAACTCTTCTCTGAGGGCCCCCAGTTCTTTGGGGGAGGTTTTAGGGTGCATTTGAATGTGCTCAGGAGCAAAGCCACTGTGGCTCCTCCTCATGTCTTAGACTCTGTCCCTTGTCCCACTGTCTGGTAATGGCAGCTCTCCTGCTCAGTGTTCTGGTCTTGCATGTCTTTGGATCACAGAAACCTCTCTCTAGAGATTAACCCGTGCTCTCCTATGGGAATGACTGGTTTGCAGTGCAGGCACTGACACTTATAGCGGAAGCCAGGAGGACCATGTACCATCTCTTTCCCCATCAAATGGTGGCCTAGAAATAGCACCACGGGTGTCCTAAGCTTTTCAAGCCCCTCTTGTAGCTTCTTCCTTTAAGAATTAGTTCCTGCTTTTATGGGAGAAGTGGATTGGTCATTCCATTTTTGTTTCACTCTCTGTCCCCACTTCCTTTTCTAGTCATTTGCATATCAAATTATAATCTTTACCCCACCCCCATTAATATATATATATACATACATACATACATACATACATACATACATACATACATACATATATATATATATAGTGCTTGGAGAGAAGTCACAGTAGGGTCAGCTTCAGTGTCTTTGGTCCTGTGCAGTCATGCAGGGTCCTGAGAAGGCTCTAAGCACTGGTTGATGCTCTCCTGAAATTTGTGATAACTTTTGAACAAGGGGCCTACCCTTCCCTTTTTGCCCTGGGCTCACGAAATCAGGCAGCTAATCCAGACTGCTACCCCGCCTCAGCGGAGACTCAGGCTTTGAACTTCTCTATAGGGCTGCTTCAGCAGACAGTGTCTCCCTTTTGGATTAGTTCTTGAGATTGCCATTAACAAACAGAAATTCTCCTCAAGGCATTTCCCAGTCTCTGGTGATGAGTGACACTGATAATTTTTGTATATAGGACTATTGGGGCCTATAGTATATAGGAATCCTGCAATAGTTTACTATTGCTCATTATTTTTAGGTACCAAATCAAGTTTAAAATATTTCTAATAACAATGTTTCCAGTGTAAAGGTTAATAGTGTATTATTTTAAAATTAAAATTTAAAGCTAGCATATAAAATCATGGGTTCCATTATGGTATTTTTCTTTTTTTTAAAAAAATTACTTATTTTTATTTTATGTGCATTGGTGTTTTACCTTCATGTATGTCTGAGTAAGGGTATTAGATATTGGAGTTATAGACGGTTGTAAGCTGCCATGTGGGTGCTGGGAATTGAACCCAGGTCCTCTGCAAGAGCAACCAGTGCTCTTAACGGATGAGCCATCTCTCCAATCTCCATTAAGGAATTTTGCATACATACATGTTGTTAACTCTCATTTGTTCTCCTCCATTATTAATAAGAATTTATCAGAAAACAAATTAAAAGCTGGGTATGGTGGCACACATCTGAAATCCTGACCCTTGGGAGAATGAGGCTAGTCTGGGCTTTGCAGGGAGACCGTGCTTCATCTATTACATAGACAGATGCTAAGTACTGGGCTGTGGAAACGGAACAAGACGAATCCTTGTTTTCTAAGAGCTCAGAATAACAAATACCGGAAGCAAATATTCTGGGGAGAGGGTTGCTGCTTGGAGACAGAGTATGGGAGGGTCCTATGTATCATTTACTAGCACTATAGTGCTATATGGAAGGGCTTGGTGTCCCTGAGGTGACATTGAGAAAGTACTTCTGGAGAGACGTGCTTTTGATTTAGTTTTGCCATTTTTTCCCCTCCTGTGATTTTAGCCTCAGCGCCTCAATCGGACGAAGGCTCGGACATTGACTCTGAACCTGACTTACCACTCAAGAGGAAGCAGCGCAGGAGTAGAACCACCTTCACCGCTGAGCAGCTGGAGGAGCTGGAGCGCGCTTTCGAGAGAACTCACTACCCAGACATTTACACCAGGGAGGAGCTGGCCCAGAGGGCGAAGCTTACAGAGGCCCGTGTGCAGGTACTGATGCCCAGACATCGGAGAATTCTGCAGATCTAGGGAGAATCCCACTCCCCAGACCCCCATCACGTGCATGCAGGGGTCTCCTATTGGGAAACATTGTTGTTGTTGTTTGTTTGGTGATGGGGTCTCACTGAGTAGCCCAGGCTGATGTGGACTCATAAGCCTCCTGCCTCAGCCTCTTGAGTGTTGGGTTTATAGACGTATAACACAACACACAGATGAGAAGTGTTTGAAATAAAGAAAAGTACATTAGCAACAGTGCTTAGAATGAACGCATATTCTGCGGGTTTTAGTTATTGCTATTGTTTATGGTACACAGAAGTTCATTTCATTCCTGTGCACTCGTCATTCTAGGATCCTGATGGTGTACCAGAAACTGTATGGCTGTTGAGGATGGTTCCAAGGTTAACAGCAAACATATTTTGAGTGGTTATTTTGCACCAGGCATTATTTTAAGTCTTGTATTTCACATGGATTAACTCATGAATCATCAGGAAAACCATTGGTTGACATAGTTACTATCCCCAATCTTCAGAAAAGGAAATAGGAACATCAGCTAGTAAAATAATTACCTGAGCTAGCATTGTTGCCTGCTAGTATAGAAACCACTGGGCCTCACATGCTTTGCCTTTCCACTAGGAAATGTGCAAAAGTGCAAATGGTAGTCCCTTCATCTACAGATTGTACATATTGGAAGCAATATATTATTTTAAGATCATTATGATATCTGAGTTTGGTTGTCAGCTTGACACATCTAGGAACAGGGATATGTCCAGTTGAGGAATTGCCTCCACCAGATTGGTCTATAGGTATATTTTGGGGGCATTTTCTTGATTGCTAATTGATGTAGGAGTCTAGCCACTATGGATGGTACCATCCCTAGGCAAGTGGTCCTAAGGCTGTTCAAGAGAACAGGTTGAGCTTGAGCCAGAGGAATCAAGCCAGTACGCAGTGTTCTTCCGTGGTCTCTGCTTTGGCTCCTGCCTCCAAGTTCATGCCTTGGCTTCCTTGAATGGATGATGGACTGACTGTAAAGCATAGATGAAATAAGTGTTTTCCTTCCCAAGTTGCTTTTGGACATGTTTGTCATGGCAACAGAAAGAAAACTAGGACAATCATATTTAATTCTTTTAGTTTTTACATGATTCTGTGCGTATGTGTGATGTGTGTGTGTGATGTGTCTGTATGTTTGTGTGGTGTGTATGTTTGTATCTGTGGTGTGTGTGTATGTGTTACATGTAGAGGTCAGAGGGCAACTTGTGGGATTCAGTTTATCTTTTCTCCATGTGGGTTCTAGGGATTGAACTCAGATCAAGCTTGCTTTTAAGCACCTTTAACCAGCTGAACCATTTCTCAAGCCCTGACTTATTATCTTTTGAACTCCTAGGAAGCTTCTAGAAGAGGCTATTTAACTTAACATGTCTCTCTTGAGTGTACAATAATGTTTTCATAACCAGTGGTGAACTTTCACTTCAAGGTTTGGGCACATTACAAAGACTAAGGGATTTTCAGAACTCCTCATCATCCCAGAGTTGACTTTCTCTATCTGGAAATGATAGATGACTAATCCAGCATCTCATGGTCAAAGTCAGGCTGGTACTTTGGCAATGAGCTACTCAGTTGTTGATGTGGTCCCTTATCAACACTCCCACCTGCCCACTACATTGCCTGTTTGTTGAAACAGTGTCTTCCAGCTGCTGAGTCTGGGGAGAGGAACTGCTTTACTCAGCCTTCCATATGATCTGTCATACCACAACAGTGGAGGGGTAACGGGATGGACTAGTGTTCTCTCTTTAGCATAAAACACACTGTACAAATAATCCCAAACAAACAAACACAAACAGGGGAGATGTGTCAAGTGGGTGTAGATAAAGAAAAGATGAGATCTTGGAGAAAATAAGAAAAATGTAGGCCAAATATTTATTGGCCAGTGATGGGGAGGGGAACATATTCATCCTAGAGTACAACAAAGGGATGAAGTTTGAAGTGTCTGGGCTACATGTGAGATGACCACTCAGTTTTCCATCCAGGCATTCTGGAGAGATCAGGGACTAGTCCCTTCTGGTTGGAGTATGGCCAGAAGAAGGCAGGAGAAGGGTGGGTGCAGAGCCAGGCCCAGGACATCCTGTGAAGGCTTAGCTATCATGCTATCTGGCTCATGTTCATAAAGAATACTGGGGGCTATGGCAATAAGTAGATCATGGTGTTGGCAAGGATGGGATGATGGCCAAGTGTTCTGTGGTAGAAGGTAGGCAGCTGTTGTGTGAGCTGGAGGTGGTTTGGAAGGGTGAAGAGAAGAGCCACAGACATACAAGGTTTCTCGAGACTCACAATTTTAACATTGGAAGTATTGAACTGGGGAGATTGCTCAGTGGTTAAGTCACATGCTGAGCAAGCATGAGGTCTATAGCCAGGATCCCCAGAACTCATGTAGATGCTGTTGGGCATGGCAGCATGTCTGTAATTTCAGCCTCAGAGGGAGGAGAAAGGGCGTTACTACAGAAAGATGGTTAGCACCAGAGTAGTCCTCTTTATGAGCTTTTCAATAGAGAGACACTACCTCAGTGGATAAGGTGGAAGAGATTGAAGATGATTCTTAATATTAATCTTGGACTTTCACATGAGCATGAACACAGATGCATGGACTTCTTCTCCATGTGAATATCATACACATTCTCTCTCTACCTCTCTCTCTCTCACACACATTTATATATATATATACATGTATATACATATACATATATATATATACACATACACACACATACACACATACACACACATACACACATACACACACACACACACACACACAGACGGGGGGGAGAGAGAATGGGACAGTTGGATTCTTTTACCCATTTCACAGAACAAAAACCATCTCCTCTAGCCATGGACCAGGATGCTTTTACATTGTATCCTAGTGAAATGGGTTGAGGGCAGCAATGGCTCTCTTATGCTGTAATACTATAACCACAGATATAACATGCATCAAAAGCTATATCACATCTACTTTGCTTCTGTTAGAGTCTGGTGATTGCCCAGTTTAAATGCAAGGTGAGGTCTAGTGATTTCCCATTGAATGTCTGCTCTACTTCAGGATTTAGCTCTTGTGCTTTGTGGTTGGCCAAGCTTGTGTACTGATAGGTTCCAAAGACTGATCCATAATCAGTGTGAATAAAAACTAAATTTCAGAATGGCAAGCCAAAGAAGAGTGAAATTCTGAAACTTGCTCATCCTTGCTCTATCTCATTCCTGCCTTTGTTAAAAACGAAGGAGACAGAAAAAGTTTCAAACCCACATAGCCTGTAGAGTGTCCAACATTCTCATCTGTCTCAGTGAAGGCCAGAGCACAATAATAATAGCCTATTAACTTTCAGAGGACATGGGATCAAACCAATAAAGAGCAGTTCATATTTTTCTATATGGTCACCTCCCCTCCAAAGCAGGGCCCTCATTAAAGTAACAGCTGTCTTAATGTGGCTTTAACCCGGTGACTCTTTACATTCCTTATGGCTTCTTTAGTTCCCCTGAGACACATCATGTCTTGCTATGATCTACAGCCTAACAAATTCCCTAGAACAACCAGCATATGGATCTTTTACTTAACCCAGCAGGAAAAAGAAGCAAGCAGTTAATCACTGATTAAAATGCCAGCAGAAAACGCTGGAGTCCTTGGGAAGAGCTGGGAAAGCGGTAGCTAAGTCAACTCACTTTGAATGATAGCCAGAGAGTGTGAGTTACTTGAATTTGAAGGCACCTGGGAGAAACCAAACCTCAAACCCTCAAAGCCCAAACCATGGCTACATTCCCTTTAAGGAAAAAAAATATTCCCAGCCCCTTCTGGATAGAGATGAAACTTAGGTTTTTGTCAGTGTTGCATAGAAATTCAGTTGGACCCTTGTGTTCCTTGCTGCCAAATCTGAGTACACAGTAAGCTAAGGTTCCCTGTCCTGCAGCCAAGGCTCCATCTAGAAACAATGTCACAAAAAAGAGGAAGAAAGAAAGAGGAAAAACAAAGACAGACTAGTTGGTGTTCGGTTGTTCGGTTGTTCGTAAGCAAATAATGGGAACATGGAGGTTTTATTGAGACAGAATTCCTTGCCAATGTTTACGGCATGCAGACCGTTTAGTATGTATTTCATCTCAGAATGAAGTAGGTGAGAAGACATGAAACATGGCAGCTACCTGTGGAAACAGCATTTGACCAGGAGATAGGAGATGCCATTTTGGTCCCAGTTTGTCAAGAGTGTCTTATTGAGCTTGGACTTTAGTTTCATTTTTATTTTAAAGTATGGGGTAAATCATATCAGATTATTTCAGTCTGTGTTCAAGGACCACCAGCGTAACCATGGATGGATTTCTGGAGATCTGGGCAACATGAGATGTGTGTGCATGAATGCGTGTGTGTGTGTGTGTGTGTGTGTGCACGCATGTGCACATGAGTCTGTCTGTCTACACAAGTTTTTGCTTTGGACAGTGTCTAGGGATTTCATATTTTCAAATATCATCTCTCCCATATCCACAAACTGAAAGCTATAGGAGGGGCTGGAGAGATGGTTCAGTGGTTATGAGCACTTGGTACCCTTGCAGGGGACCCTGGTTCAGTTCTCAACATGAACATGGCAGCTTGTAACTGTCTGTAACTCTAGTCTCAGGGGATTCAATTCCCTCTTCTGGCTTCCTTGGACACCAGGAATACATGTGGTACACAGATATACAGGCAGGCAAAACACCTATACACATAAATAAAATAAAGTAAGAAAAAGGAAAAAAAACCTATTAGGCAATAGGATCTCACAGGACCTTCTGCAGTAGAAGTCTGGGATTTCCTAGAAGAACACAAAGGAGTCATAAAATCATGTAACATACCTCTACAGTTTAGAAGGTAGGATAGGTATAGAAAACCCTGACTCTCCAAAGGACTTTTCCCTTGATGTGTCAAGATGCAGATGATTAGGCTTGCATGTGTCTGTGGATCTGGGCCACGTGTGAGAACATGATTGTCCTCCTCCTCTGCCTGCTCTCCCTCCATACATAGGCTAAAGCTGGGTAACAGCAAGGATGGGAGGGAGGGCTGGTGAGAGCTGGCACTGGAAGAGGAAGGAGATGGGAGTGAATGAGAGGCCCAGAGGCACCAGCAACATGGCCCGAAGTTACCTACTTGGCCTCCACTCTTCTTGGCCTGGTAGCAGTACACATCACACACAGAAGCTAGTGCTCAGTGAAGCATTTTACAATCTAGTGGAATTCTCTTTCAAAGGATGGAGTATTATGTTTTCCTTCCCATTTTTCAAATTGCCATTTGAAATAACCCATCTGGAATAATGTAGGTTACACTGCCTTTGAGGACAAACCAAAAATGTGAACAAGTAATTTATTGATGGGTAAAATTAGGCTCACACCATGGGACAATTAGCACTAATCCATGAAACTTGGAAGCAAATTTGACCTAAGCCACCATTCAAGTCAAACTGGCTCTCAATTATTTGAGGTGTTCTGTGGGTACTTCTCTGTTTACTCATAGGCACACAAGGCTTTGGCTGTTGACTGCCCAGTGAAGGACACCAAGCCAGGCTTTAATTAGGTTTTCTCAAAAGAGTCCATGTGAGCTTTTAATTTAATAGTATTTATTGAACACTTAATATCTCCTGAACATCCTTTCAAGCGCGTTGCCATATGCTTACAGTAGTTGTATGTATTACTCGTTTAGCGAATGAGAGACCAGAACTCCACAGACACTAAGCAACGCATTCAAGGTCAAAGCGGTGGCAAGAAGGGAGCTAGGGTTTGACTTTTGACTGGTCACCATGGTGCCTAGCTGGATAAGAAGCATCCCCATGTTTTTACCGTGGAAGTACTAATTCTCCCTCACCCTCAGGGTTGAGCCTGAACAACTTGGTTACTTTACTCACCGTGGGAAATTTTATGAAAATTGTATTCTTATTTTGAAACCGATTATCCTTTTCACCTCATAGTTATCATGATGGTATAGGAAACGTTTGAATGGTTTGAATTTTACCCCAAGTAACTGTTTGATGTTATAATGTTGTAGAAATTCATGTGAAAGATCATTTTTTAAAGAAGTTTATGGATGGATTCAATGGACAGGTAAAGATAAGGCAGCCTGCTGTTCATCAATTGAAATAAAAACTTGCTTTGGGGGACATTTAATGTATTTCGTATTATACAGACAATTACAGGCAATTAACTGTATATGATAGTAGACTGTCAATCAATCAATGTATGCCCCTGCCCTCACTTGTTTAGCATGTTAGCAGTGATGGGAAAACCAGAAGAGGTGGTGTGGAGAGAATAAAATTACATTGACTTATAGATCATAGAAGTGTACTTAACATATGTAGCTGACTTTGTTTTTTCTGCCTTATTGGCAAAGATATTCTTGGAACATCAAAAGCCAGTTTGTCTTTTCTGCTCTGGTTACTCTTTTCAAAACATGGAGAAATTTCTTCAATTTCTTTTTATGTGTGTGAGTGTGTTGCCTTCATGAATGTCTGTGTAGCACACGAACACCTGTGCATGAGGACCCTAGAAAAGAGTTTGTATTCCCTACAACTGGAGTTGCAGACATCTGTGAGCCATCAAGTGGTACTGTGAATTAAACACGGGTCCTCTGCAAGAGCAGCCAGTGCTCTTAACTGCTGAGCCATCCCTTCAGCCCCTAATAAGGCAACCTTTCTAATTATTGTAACAAAGTCATACATTCTCTCAACCTGTTGGGATGACCTGTTGGGGATGCATTCTGTGTTATGCATTCACAAGATGGAGTAGATAACGTGTTGATTGCCTGTCAGGAATTGACAATTCAGTGCTGAGTTATAGGAGGCATCTGAGTAGAGGGATTGTTTTTCTTCTACAGTTAAGTATAGAGTGATGACTACATTCCAGTATCCCAAAGGTATTTAAGATAAAGGTCATTTCAAGGGCAACTTTCCTTTTTCCAACTGGAAATTGAAGATGCTTCCTAAGTTTTGAAACAGGAGGCAAAGGCTAAATCCCATTTCAGCATTATCATGTTTTCCCTTTAGTGATGCATCTGGCTGTCATGGGTGGGTCTAGAAGCACCGAGGTTGGCACTGGCTAGATTATTAGAAACCTCTGATGAAATGGCCAGGGACAAACTGGTTGGTCCTACTGGGCCTGGTTTTCTCTAGAACAGCTCTCTGGATATAGGGATCTTCAGTTTAAACATTAGGATTATTTCTTTGGGAACCAACTTCCTGTTGAAAGTTTGTTTTTTAGTTAAGACTTACAACTGTTTTTCTTGAATTTTTTTTTATTGTAATGCCTGAGTTTGAACCTGAAACCTTTTACATGTTAGGAAATTCTTTACCATTGAGATATACCCCTAGCTCCTTCCTGTCAGTTTTTTTTTAAATTGTAGCTATAACAGGTACTATACAATAAACATAATATTTTAAAATAAACCCCTCATGGGTTTATGCTATATTTCCAGTATTTACTAATGTCAGTTTGAAAAAATAAAATGAGCACAAACTTCAAATCCACAGCCACTTAGTTTGTTTGGATTCTGTCTTTTGAGGGTAATTATGGAAAGTGGTGATATTTGTTCAACATTATTTGAGCAAAAATGACCTCTTTTGTCCTTCCTTCCTTCCTTCCTTCCTTTTTTTCTTTCGGAGACAGGGGTTCTCTGTGTAACAGCTTTGACAGTCCTTTGTAGACTAAACTGGCCTTGAACTCACAGAGAGCCACCTACAACCAAATACAAGCTTGAAATAGTGTCCATGGTTTCATGACACCAGTGGCAATTTATTAAATTAAGTGAAGCCCTAACTCAATTACTTATCAATGTGGGAAAATACTGGATTACCTTATTTTTCCCTTGGAAACATAAGGAGTATTAAAAGGTAATATTTGGGGCTGGTGAGATGGCTCACTGGATAAAAGTGCTTGACACCAAGCTTGATGATGTGAGTTCAGGTCCTGCAACCCATAAAGTGGAGGGAATGGATTCTTGCAAGTTACCACCCATGTACATTTTAGGCAAGGACTTTGCCAGCTGAATCCTCTTTCCTTAGTCAGGCTGGTCACATTTTTATAGTCTCCACTGTGGCCTCTATCTAGAGAGGTACTAGGAGTGACAATTACATCCAGCTTTTAAAATGAGCAGCAACTTTCTCACCGCTCTGAAGTTTTTCTGATTCCTTGACTTCCTAACACAGAGCTTCTGTGTCCTGTGGGCAATTCTTCTGGGCTCTGTGAAGGAGGTTGCCTGAATGCCAGGCTCTCATCACATCCCCTCCTACCCCTTCGACCTCAAATGCTATGTGTTTCTCTGTGTTAAGTTTCAGTGAACTTTCTATAAAAATGATAAAGCTTTTGGTTGGAAGGAGTCTTCTCTTGTGGTGTGGTAAATACTATGTGTGCACCCTGGAAATTTTACTCCAAGCGTTACATCTTAGTTATGCAGATTTAAATCGTAGTTGGGTAAGATCTTGAATCGTACTAAAAACCTGCATAACACCATTGAACACGTTGACATCCAGTTAGATTTCTGGTTGGTATCTTTTTCTCTTCTCCATTGGAACACCAGAAGAGCGGGGCTTTGAATTGCTGGAAGACAGATTAATTTCCAACATATTTTTCTGAGCATAGGTGATAGGCATAATGTTCAGCACAGAGTATTACAGTGCATAATACATTGCAAAATGATTTCCTTCTTTGAAGCTCTTCATCAGCAGCTATTCTAATTGAGATGAGTGTGATGTTTCGCACTTTGAAAAATGTGGTAAAATGTCTCCACTTGTATGAATTTGTGTTCAATTTGACTGTCTAGAACAGTGGTTCTCAATGTGTGGATCATGACCTCTGTGAGGGGGGGGGTGTCAAATGACCCTTTCATAGGAGTTGCCTAAGACCATCAGAAAGCATAGATATTTACATTATGATTCATAACAGTAGCAAAATTGCAGTTATGAAGTAGCAATGAAACTAATTTTATGGTTGGGGGTCACCACAACATAAGGAACTGTATTAAAGGGTCACAGCATTAGGAAGGTTGAGAACCACTGATCTAGGACCTATACTTACACTGATTATAGATATACAGAAATAGACTGATATGACCATAAAGCCTGAGGCTTGGTGTGTGTAATTGGCAAGGTCAAATTTAGGACATGTGCCATATGTGTGAGTGTTGGTATGTGGGGGTGTCCAAGTGTCTCATGGATTTCCTGGAAGGCTATAGTATGAGGGTACAATGGCATTGGTGGCAGTAGTAGAGAATGCTAACGGTTCTGAACCCTGCCTAGCAGTCGCTGCCCAGGGCCATTATCAGCTTTACTGATGCAAGTCCACATAGGGTTCCTGCAGCCGATTTCCTGACCCCTGACATTTAACTCTTCTTTCACCCCAACATATTACAGAAAACAGAGGGCTCTTGGCTGTATTTGCCCTGTCAGTAAGGGGCCTTTAATCTGTTTTAGCATGAAAAATTCATTAAGAATGTACTATTATTTCATCAGTGAAATCCTCAAATTTTAAATTGAATCCATAGGTCTGGTTTAGCAACCGCCGTGCAAGATGGAGGAAGCAAGCTGGGGCCAATCAACTGATGGCTTTCAACCATCTCATTCCGGGGGGATTCCCTCCCACCGCCATGCCGACCCTGCCAACATACCAGCTGTCGGAGACCTCTTACCAGCCCACGTCTATTCCACAAGGTACTTAGGAAGAAATACAGGATGATAAGGATATAACTCCCAATTGCTTCCCATTGGCTGATTTACACAGTGAATTCTGCCTATGATGCTGACATTGATGCTGTTGGCATGCCAATCAAATGACATCAGCTTTCCCTGTACATACCTACCATGTCTCAGAAGTCCTTTGTGCTATATTTGAAGCTCTTTAGATAAAATGTGTGGTGACGAAACATTATTTCAGTGTTTAAAAATAATATGACATTCCCAAAGAAACATGGGATACCCCTGCCCCCTTTTGTTAGAACCCGAGCACTATATTTATGTTCCTGGTTGCACTCAACTGAGGTTCAAGGATCATAGCTAGTTGCAATAGTAATTCAGGGAATGTAAGCTTTGGTAAAGTCATAATTTGTTAAGGCAAGAAGAAATGGGATAATGTTAAATTGTAAGACTATTATTTCAGAGTTGTTCAGGACAGTGTTTCCAACATTCTAAACTCTAAACATTCTATTCATGCATGAATGCTGTAAGAGTACATTTGATGAGAAATTTGGTATGTGTAGTGATCATATTATGTTCACTATCCTAACTGGCTTCTTAGTATTGCTACTGTAGTATCTGTGACTATATTCTAGGTGTCAACACAGATAGATGTAACTGTGTCTGTTGGATGATTTTACAACTGAATTGTAAGAAATGCACTTGGGGTTCTTGTAGTATCTAACCAAATGCATAACTACGAGTGGGAACTTTTGCACTGAACTTGCTCTGTTGGTCTACCAGAGAGCATCATGGTCTACCAAGAGCATCATGGTTGGTCCTCTTCTTTGTTTCAGCCGTGTCAGATCCAAGCAGCACTGTTCATAGACCTCAACCGCTTCCTCCGAGCACGGTACACCAAAGCAGTATTCCTTCGAATCCAGATAGCAGCTCTGCCTACTGCCTTCCCAGCACCAGGCATGGATTTTCAAGCTATACAGACAGCTTTGTGCCTCCGTCGGGGCCCTCCAACCCCATGAACCCCGCCATTGGCAATGGCCTTTCACCTCAGGTCAGTCCTGTGTTTCTAGACAGATGATTCGCCGTTACCAGAACCAAATAGTCAATTCCCTGAGGCAGTGGTATAATGAATTGCCAAATGTAAACCATAATGTATTCTTTATACAAGCCACATGATTTCAGTTTTCGAGTTTCCTTTCTTTCTTCCCTTTCTACTGGAGGCATCAAAAGTTATAGCTTAGACTAAAAATTCAAGTGACTTCTAATGCAATCATGGAGACTCGGTGTTTATACTTAGTTGTCAAGGCATTTGTCATATATTTTCCCTGTCCTTAGCTCTGAGCTTTGGTTGAAAGTCTTCAAACTTGCCAGGGTTTCTTTTCTTTTGGTTTTTGTTTGTTTGTCTATTTCAAATGGTGTTTTGTCAGCTGACAGAATTTTGAGGAAAATCCTCATCAGAAAACACCAAAGCTCTGGCATAACAATTGGGGAGGAAGCAGAAAAACTGTGTAGAGAGTGAAGGGGAAGTAAAGAAGGGGAGGGAAAAAGGGTGAGGGCAAGGAAGGAAATGGGTAAGTAGAAGAGGAAGGAGAGAGAGAGAGAGAGAGAGAGAGAGAGACCCAGCTGAAGACTGCAGAACCTGGAATGAATGCGTTATAAGAACACAAATTGGGAGAATTGCTAGTCTTTGGGACTATATAAATATTTGGACATTGTAATTGTTTTTCTAATTTGCGTTGGACTATGAGTTTTTCTTGAGGGATTGCATTAATAAATTGCCCTGATAATTGCATGTCAAAAGGATGGTTAAATTTCCTACATGTGGCATCTGTCTGAACTTGACATTATTAGCAGTTGTTTAAATACAGATAGCTTGATTTTATTAGAGAGAGAGAGAGAACAGTTTGCCCAGGTGGCAAGGAGAGCCACCCACTAAATTTGAAGAAATGTCACAAAGGGATTGCAATCTATAATTGCCATCGAGGATCTCTTTGGGGCTGAGAGTGAGAGTTTTAACAGCTTTATCTTTTCTCTACCTCTTTTCTCCTCTTGCTGGTTAGAAAAACAGAGAGAAGCTCAGAATGACACAAATGAAAAGTGAAAAGACAATTATACTCAATTACACACTAATCACGGGCTATCACCGCCGCCTAAGCACTGAGAGGCTATTCTAATAGGCAGAAAATGAGATTTTAATGGCACAAAGGGTGGCCAAAATAACGACTCATATATCTTTGCCTTCCCCGCTTCTTCAACTTGTGGTGCGCATCTTCGGAGTGGAGCTCTTGGGCTCTGTGTAATGGTGATAACTCCGAGCAGCTGAGGAGTTCAAAGCCACAGGAGTTGAAAAGACTGGATGGCAAAGGCAATGAAATAAACATTTCCGCCTCCAGGCAAAAGTTCATAAATCCTTTTTTGTAACAGTGAATGTAATTAAGTTTTATAGATTCCTATAGCACATCCTGGGCTTAAAAAAAAAAAAAAAAAAAAAAAAAAAAAGTAAGAGGTGGCTTTAAACCTCAGCAGGAAAAATAACAACATGAAAACAACTCTTCCTACAGGACTTGCAGCTTCTTTGATTTCCAAGTACTGGCATTTGGGGATGTGATTTTACATGACAATAACAGGCTTCCCCTAAAAGAGCCAGCTTTGTAACTCTCATTTATAACCCTCCGATTCCTTGTGTAGAAACTTCTTCCAGAGTTTAGAAGCAGCATGGAAAGGTTTGGCAAGTTTTAACATCAGTCAGTCACTTGGACGCTAGAAAACAGCTTTTTAGTTTTCACTAATTTTATTTATTTTATGTGCACTGGTGTTTTGCCTGCATGTATGTTTGTGTGAGGGTCAGATTCCCTCCATATGAGTTACAGGCAGGTGTGAGCTGCCATGTGGGTGCTGGGAATTGAACCCAGGTCATCTGGAAGCACAGCCCATGCTCTTAACCACTGAACTTCCCCACAGAGAACAGCTTTTGGATTTGTTTGAAAGTTTGTACAGGAGTAGTGTGTGACCCAAGCTGCTTCTGTGAGAGGCAGGATTCCATCAGAAGGCCTAAGGACCTTATTCTCTTGAGTCATAACGAAAATAACACAAGCTCAAATTGTGTCTTTGAAATGGTTAGTTCCTTGCATCCAGTGGTCTGAGAATAATGCTATGGCAGTATTCCCTAAGTGGATGTGTTAGAAGTTGATCTTCCAGCCACTGAAGCTCACCTTCAAGAAAACTGTTAGTTCTCAGCTGTCAGTGACTTCGGAGTTGGTGCCAGGGTGGGGTCATTCCATATCTAGCAATGGAAAAAAAATCTCACAGGCAACCTCCCCCTGTATTTCTTTAGTCTCATCTTACGTACTCTACCAGCTCTGTACTTTCGTTTGTGAATAACTAGTGCATTTTGTGTTTCTACTGTAGACCACTAGTAGGGTTCTGTGCTGTCTTAGTTGAGGATGAGACAGGGAGCAAGTGGATCTGTATCATCCAAGCATAGTTATAAAGAAATGGAGGGGGAAAGGGAGACTAGAGCTCAGATTCCTGCAGCCCTTTGGACTGATTGCTTTTCATCAATGCCTCCATTGAGGTAAATGATGCCTGTAGTGGCTTCATTAGGAACTAGTATAAAGTAAGTTAGGACAAACCCAATTCTAGCAGCTTGGCTCAGGTGTACTTGAAGTGAAACTAAAAAGATAGCCATGGCCCGCAGCTTCTCTGCTTTGCAGAGATCACATTATTGACATGCAGATTGGATCATGTGATCCTCACACTTCTCTGATTTGCCTGTTGCTTTTCCTACCTTCTCCTCTGTCATGTCACTTGGCAACTCAAAACTTAAGGGCAGGAGACCATCAGTTGTAATCCACCAATAATGTAAGGGGGTTGGAATTAGAATCTGGGACTCCTGGCTATTGGTTTAGGATCGAGTCTATTATTGAGTAGAAAGGAAGCACACTTTGAAACAAAGCAGAGACAGGATTTTAGTCACACTTGAAGATATTAATAGAGACTAGTTTCCTAAGCTTTTTATTTTTTTCAGTGTTGGGGATTGAATTTAGGTTTTGGTTTTAGGCTTATTCATTTTATTTTACCTGCATGGAACATAAGTGTTTTCCCTGCATGGATGTATGTGAACCACATGGATTCCTGGTGTCTGCAGAGGTCAGAAGAGGGTGTTGGATCCCCTGGTACTGAAGTAACAGACATTGGTGTGTCACCATGTGGGTGCTGGAAACCAAATCCAAGTCCTCTGCAAGAGCAGTCAGTGCTCGTAACTTCTGAGTCTTCTCTGCAGCCCCTGGATTTATGTTTTAAGTTAGGCTGATTTAGCATTTTTTTTTTTTTGATAAGCCTGACTGATTTTCATTCATCTTTTGAAACTTCTACCAGTAATAAAAACATTCCACATTGACTGTATAGAAGTTTTTTCAGGATAACTACTCATGATATTTCTGTACATCGACTCTAAGTTCTTTTTGTTTAAGCCTTTCTAAAAATTGAGATAGATGGTAGTATATAGATTTCCCATCTGATGGAATGTCCTTTTGAATTATTGTGGCCAATTCATTGTAGCTTTCTTTGGTAGAGTCTACTTGGCATATTTAAAATATTTGTGTATTTTATTTGACATTTTCTCCAGTATCACCGATGTTGGCATATTGCCCTATTCAAACTGGCAGGGAATAACAGAATGTATGAGATTCAGTGTGTAATGGGATTTTCTAGTATTTTGTTTGTTTTATTTTTTTCTTCTCTTAAGGTCTCACTTTGTACCAGGAGGGCTTGGGACTTTTAGTAATCTTTCTACCTTAGTCTTTTATTACTGGAAGTACAGGTGTGAGCAACTATGATTGGTTGATTTCTAGGTTTTTTTGTTTGTTTGTTTGTAGGAATTGATAGACACATCATTCGCCAGATGATACCCACCCTCTCTCTATCTGCCCTCCCCTTGTTATTCTTCTTTGAACATGAGCCATACATTTTTGTTACTAGTCTGTGCCACTGCCCTTGACCTGCTTGTGCTGCAAGTCTGGTCAAATGGTTTCACAAAGGAGGGCTGGTCTCCCATTTGCTAGCAAATGCTGGATCTCTGAGGACACTTGAGGCAAGATTCTCAGAGATGGACAGGGGCAGGACCTCAATATTTCCTCCCTTCTGCATAGCTGTCTGACATATTTAACCTTTCTAGGAGATGGGGTTCAGAATAAGGCTCCGGTATGCCCTGAGAAGACCACCCCACTCACCCTAGTGAGAACTTTCCCTGGTAGCAGCAACCTATTTTGCTGCAAGGACAACACAGAATCCATACACACACCCACAGACACTGGTTTCAGTATCTTACACACATGTGGTCAGACAGAGGACACTGACTTGGAAGTCGGATTGCAAGGAAATATTACCACACGCTCAAGACACCAGGCTTATTAACGTGTGGCCCATGTTCTTCTAATTAACTTTCCTTTGCATGAAATACTACCCTGAGTGCTTCCCCACCCCCCAAGCACACATAGCCAACACCCCCAACCTGGGCAATTAGATTAACAAACTTGCATAATTTCATGCCCCACCTCCACTTACTTCTATAAACTTTGCAGTATTTGTCGACAGCTTCCAACAAGAGCTCGAGTGCAACACACTATCACTGGGTTACAGGGGGTCTGGGGAAATTCTCTGTTGCTCTGTCATCTATGAAAATGGGCCAACTTGGCAGCATTTAGGGCTCATCAGCAATTGTAAATGATTCTTCAAATGTTTTGGGTTTGGTAAAACCTAAAACACATTTTTGCCAAGCACTTTTTTCCCTTAATTTTTCAAACTGTGTATTTCAGGGAACATTTGATCCATATGGTTTTGATTCATTTGCCCTTATATCATTGAGGGTTTTTTTCCCCCTATGGAGCCATTTGATATGCAAGAAGCTTTCCTACACTCAGTTTAAAGCCCCCTCCTTCCTAAAAGGAGGAAGTCCTGTTTGCAACTTCAGAGGCCATAAATTCTGAGATCCCCTCAATCCAGCAACACTTAAAACTACATTTGGTATGAATCTGGGTCATTATGAGTACA